GCATAGAAAGTTTGAACTGATTGGGATCAAAATTGGATTTTTTATGAATTTGTAAATTTGCTCAAAAATCGGGCTAAAGTCCCTGCACTATAGTACAGGGTCACGGGCCAAATTTTGCCAAAAATAAAAAGGTGAGAATTCTTTATTTTTATGACATTCTCTGATGCATATACATGTACTTATGTTGCGTAGAAAGTTTGAGAATGCCACTGTATCAAGAGTGCAACATCACTATTGTATTCAGTAATGGTGCTGGTAGTAGTGAACCATTTGTACTACCACTTGGTAAGTTATGTGCATGTGTTGACAGTACATACTATGAATAATTAGTACATACTATGAATTAGTACATACCATGAATTATTACATACTATGAATTGTTACTTAATAGATACACATCCTGATGATACAACTAATCTCACTGCTACAACTGCTCCTCCACCTACTAACACTTCTACTGAGTCATCCTCTACTGTCACGACTGTTTCAGCAGGTCTTATTGTTAATGCTGGTTAGTTGCATTGAATATTATCATATACCATTTTGTATGTTATAATTATCCTGACATCATTGGGTGTCATCATATTATCATTAATGATGTGTCTCATTGTATCAGTTTGTTTTGTTATTATCTACAAAAGGAAATTGCATAGTAAGTATCGTGTGTTGTGTGTGTGTATGCGTGCACATATGTGCTTATTTATTAAATATTAAGGCCTTTTCACACTGGCACAAGTAATGTGCATTGATGCGCATTAATCGTGTTCACACTAGAGTGGTTTTGAATTAATGCGCATCAATGCCCATCACTCTCACTTCACCTCCAGAGGTGGATTGATGTGAAGTGATGCGCTTCGATCAATGTAAACCAATGGCAACAAGAACACAAAATGATACACAATTCAGCTGCTAGTGTGAACACGATCAATGCGCATTATTTCAGCTGTATCAACAAAGCGCATCAAAGCGCTTTGAAAACTGTGCCAGTGTGAAAAGGCCTTTAATAACAGGGGCTACCTCATTACAAAAACAGAAAACATATACTGCAACTAATGAAGCATACCAGATTAACAGTGTTTAATGATTTATAGTAATCCAGTTTATGAAGAAATAGAAGGACACAGAAGGGACGTAATCAATAATCCAGCTTATGGAGAAGTAGAAGGTAGCAAAGGAGAATTAATCAGTAATCCAGCATATGGAGAATAGAAAAAAACAGATCTAGGGAAGGATCATTAATCATTAATAATAATCCAGCTTATGGAGAAATAGAAGGCAGCGGAGGAGAATTAGTCAATAATCCAGCTTATGAAAAAATTGAAGGCAGTAGTCATTAATCA